ATAAACCTGTTTCTCTCACCTTCGTGGTCTCAAGTCCTGGTCTTTCGTAAGTAGATTACAAACCTCAATCTGCTGCAACAATAAGACATTCAACCAGAGGAAGCAAATAACTTTTCTTGGGGTCTTCCCTCTTATTGTTTTAGTTTTCTACCCAAAGCAAGAATAGTCCTTTTCCAATTAATAAATCCTAATTTTTTCAGAAGGTCTTTGAAGACTGCTCACTAGACAGGTACATGCTGAGATCATGAATGATGGATTACCTTATACTTAGTATGTATATTATAGTATAAATATATATTGCTGCTGCTGCTGATATTATGCATTCAGTCATCTCTGAATATTGGCAATTCTATGGGCCAGGTCTCACCACGTCTTCTGTCTTACATTATTTCTTTGAGTTCTCTATGTTCTGACTGGTGTCCAGCCACTGTGTTCTTTCTTATATTGTTCAGCCCCGTGTTCTTTGATGACCTGGTTTCCTTTTATTGCTAACTCTTCCGAACATAATTGGACATAATTGCTTTGTCCAGTGAATTCCCCCACATGACATAGCCAAAGTAAGTGAGATGTGTATTGCTATGTTCATGTTAGATTTATATATTAGATATTATTTGTATTTGCTGATTTTTATATTTGTGGCTATAGATGATTTAGAGTCAGTTGGTTAAAGATGGTACAGTGCAGAAGACAGTGTAGAAGTCATATAATTAATAAATTTTCCCTGCCATTAAAGGACAGAGCTTCCATCTTTTCATCCCACATATCTCTCTTTTCCACAGCTGTTAGCCATGTTGATAAGTCAGAGGCATGGGGCAGAGTGACATGAGAGAAGGCACATCATTCTTATTATCCTTCCTCCAACCTCGTGACCTATCATCAAATTATTGTTTAACATGGATTTACTATTATTTCAAAACAGTTTATGTTCAGAAATGCTCTGCTGACCAGTTACATTCCATACCTGACACCAGTCAACTTTACAGGTAGATTTACTTGGTCATACATACCTAACATAATAACAAAGTTGGAAGGGACCTTGGAGATCTTCTAATCCAAACCCCTGCTCAGACAGGAAACCATTTCAGATAGATGGTTGTCCAATCTCTTCTTGAAAACCTCCAATGCAGAGCACCCACAACTTCTGGAAACAAATCGTTCCACTGATTGATTGTTCTACCTAATCAGGAAGACAGTTAGACCCATCTCACCCATTTTTAAGGATTTAGTTTGTTGTTCCCTTCCTTCCTGGCAAGGTAACTTTTAGTGGAAACAAACTCAAGAAAAACCCATCAGTCAATTTCCTTAATTTGTCCAGGATTTAAAAATGCAAGAATAACAACAGTCTCCTGTTCCATTCTTCAGAGAAAATAGGGCTTGGCCAATAAGGCAAAATAATTTATTTCTTAGTTCAAGGATGGGTTGCACTGTAATGTAGCCATCTCACTATGCAGTGAAAAAGTAACAAATGCCTTTGCTGACTTTAGTATTATTTAAAGTTGGGGTGAGTAGATTGCCAGTAGATCTTTGAAAAGAAATACTACAAATCTATTAATGTTTCAGTATTATAAAACCCAAAAAGAATCATCGTATAAACCTAACTACACACAATATTACATACTTAAGTATACCCTGAAAATTTGATCATTTGCTTTGCACAGATACAATATTGGGGGCATTTTCCCTACAAATTTTATTATGACAATTTGTAATCTTCAGTGCCGTTACTGCCATCTACAGACAAAATGTGTTCTCAAGGATATGTTTTTTCAATATCCTGCACAATAATGTTTGCAGAGCTAAAACATTGTTTTTATTCATTTATGCAAATTATTTAATTACCATGAGCCCAAGCAGCATACATATTTCAGCTTTGCTCTCAGTGAGTTTTATCCTCACCATAAACTGTGGAAGACCCTTGGAAAAAAATCACTGAACTATATCCCTTAGTATCTTCTATCTCTGCCAGTTAAGGATCTTCTGGGAATTGAAATTCCTTAATAGTTACAGAGATTAGACATTTTCCCAATCTCTATTCTAAGCAATAAAGATTAAAAACAGTAGACAAACTGGAAATTGTTGAAGTGTTGAATCCCACAACATTTGCAGTCCTTATTGATTATGGTGATTTAAATGGGATCTTATGGCAACTGATTTATAAAACAACTTGAGGGTAACCAAAATATCCAGCTAGATGGAAATGACCATAGCAAAGGGGTTCCTTCCATGAAATTCTCCACAAACTCCTTTTATGAGGGCTATCAGATATGGAAATGAACTATCTCCATCTGGGTGGGAAACTGGAACACCATCCAGATGTTTTAGAATTCAGTTAGTTTAATGTATTGCCTTCAACAAGAATATGTAGTTTTTGTACCTCAGATTCAGTAGTTTCAATTTTACCTAGCAGCTCCCTGTCAAATGTTAGGTTGCCCCCCTCTCTCTCCCTCCCTCCCCCTCCCTAGAAATGAGCAAAGAATATAGCATATAATTTTTATTATAGCAATAAAATTGCATGTCTATGCATGTATGTATGTATGTATGTATGTATGTATGTAGAGGTAAAGGTTCCCCTCACACATATGTGCTAGTCATTCTCTACTCTAGGGGACGGTGCTAATCTCCATTTCAAAGCCAAATAGCCAGCGCTGTCTGAAGATGTCTCCATCATGTGGCCGACATGACTAGATGCCAAAGGCGCACACCTTCCCACCATAAAAGCTTGTTCCTATTTTTCTACTTGCATACATACATACATACATACATACATACATACATACATACATACATACAATTTTATTATAATAATAATAATAATTAATTAATTATTATTAATTATTTAATAATTAAAAGTTAATATCAAGCGAGGAATTTTCCAGGGTGATTCACTTTCACCTCTTCTCTTCATCATCGCAATGATCCCACTATCAGTAATCTTAAAAAAAATGAAATTAGGCTACCAAACAGCCAAAGAAGCTGAAAAAATTTCGCATTTATATGGATGATTTGAAACTCTATGGAAAGTCAGAAATAGAAATCCAATCATTGACAAACACAGTCCG